GTCTATACTTTATGGCGCCCCAGGTTTGACACTTGATTTGACTTACATGACTCTTAAGATTCAATGATAGCATAATTAAATTTTTTAAGATAGGAGACATTTGCCCGCCCGGGACTAAGTCCAAGATGACTGCCATTATGCAAAAGAAAACATTGAGCCAGTCATAACTGTAGATCTAGAACGTGTAGTTTGACAAAGTTGGTATAAATTTTGGCCAATTTTAAAATGCCTGATACGTTGGACTTGTCTATTTCACGATCTGAGGCCATCTACACCCAAAATCAATATGGCTGCTTTTGTTGAACACCAACATACTGGTACTGTACTCAAAATAATTAAATTATCATAACTTGGGAACTAGAAGAGGTACAGTGGTAGACTTACAAATTCAGACTGAGAGTCTTTCTTAGACTCATTTCAGGGTAAACCCTCTAAATATATCCACAAAAGGTCCCTGCACACAGTAAATCTATCGTGTAAACAGGTTTATCCCCAGACTTCAGGTTAGGACAAGAACTTGACTCAGTCTGATTTGGGGGTCCAAAAAGCTAACCAAATAGATTTTTGATGTTGTTAGTGCGCTGTGGTCTTCCGCACACTCATTCAGGTGAATTGCTTCCTTGGGGTGGAATGCTTACACTTTTCTCATCTGCAAAAGTGCCTCTGATGCATGCAGGGTTTCTTCCTGTCATGTCTTCACTAGTCACAGATTATGCCACAGTGCACAAAGTTCTCACATATTTTAAAGTGTGTGAAAGTATTTGGATCGGAAAACGATTCCTGTTTCTGTGATGAGTTTTTTTTCCACATGGTGACAAACATTGTCATGTCTAAACCAACCATTATCCACAATGTTTTCCCTTATGTTGGGATGTGGAAGTGCTGCTTCGTCGTTCTGGGAGATACAGCGACAGAATGAAATATCTTCCCAGCTTTGGTCAAAGTATAATGAAACCTGACTACCCAACACAGAACCTTCCGAGATCCAATGCCATCAGTGTCCTGGAGAAGAATTCCTAGCCCCTGGCCCATCGAGACCCACCATCTCCACCAAAGATGTTACTTCTGCTCAGCGTGACATTGGAATCGTGAAAAAGTGTAGAATGTCATCCACTGACATTTCAACTATGGTCATCTCCCCAACTGCCCCTTGTTTGATGGTAATTTACGAAAAAAGAACACCCAAAAAATCCTTATTTCAGAGTTGGAGACTTATCTCCACGAGGGAGACTAAGCATTCCAGAAGAATTCACCACTGAGAAAGACCACCATCCTAGATTTTGTCGAAAATCTGTCAAATCCCAGATTTATTCTCTTTCAGTAATATTGGTGAGGCCATAAAATCTGTGCTATCAGCCGCACCTGGTGATTATCACGGGGAAGAAACTCACGTCATATTTGACAGTTAAAATGAACCGTCGATAAAAAAGTGTGACCGTGGTCGTCAGGCTGGCACAAATTGAGTCCGTGATGGATGAAACTATCCCATTACCTCAATAGATTGAGAAATTATGGGCCTTATCTTACAACAAATTGAACCTGAAGCTGCTTGCACGCAATAATGTCATGCATGATTCCAAGAACACAGAATTGGTACTGAGTGGCGTGCACATAAATAATGAAGCTCTTTCAGACCTCTTAGAGCAACCAGAGTCGATACTGCCAACCTGGCAGAACTCAGTGACTAGTTGGATAAGACGGATACTCACATCATTCGACACACCAAATGAGCTATTGAGAGGCGGTGCCAATGTGTCGAAGTGGTATCAATCGACCCTGATAGTGTCGTTTTGCTACTGCGCTATGCTCCTTACCTTATAAACAAGGAGTGGGTGAAAGGCAGCAGCTTATACCTTTACACATCCTGTCTGAGAAATTAGTTGTTGCACTCTGCCAGGTGTTTGTTAACGCACATGTTACAACCAGTGGTGATGCCCTAAATGAGGTATGTGTGCCATCAGAGGCAACTCTCTGGCATACAGGGAATTTAACTTGAGTCCCTCGTCCTTAGTGTGCAAGTTATCCTTTCTCAAATATGGTCAGGCTCAAGGTCCAAACCAATGGTCTTGATATTTTATGAATTGTGAATTGAGTATCATTCTCGAAATTCCACTCGAAATTCTTGTCAGTTAGAATGGGAACATGTTGGACCCAATTAATTTTGGATGGGATAATAAGGAGGGTTCTCCGAAGCCTTTTAAGGGCCTGAAAATATTACCTGTGTACCTTCTGAGAACATGTCCAGTATAAGCAGTGGTAAATGTGACGCCAAGCGCTGTAGTTGCAAGTCCGATGGCGTCCATTGTGTGATTTTTTGCCCCCCCCCCCCCAAAAAAAAAAATCTTTAAAGCAGTTAACCTCTTACTACTTCATAACCCCACAATCTTATATTGTACCTCTGACTTTCCATGTTAGGATAAAATCTGGGTGCAGCAGACACTAGCATTTGTACACAATCAGTATTCAGTTCTTAAACATGTAATGAGTGATATCCTACACATTTAAATTTTCACCTGGTATGTGGTACCTGCACTACACTTGTTATGAAACCACTAGCACACCCAAGGGGTGGGCCCATGGGACCCCCCCTTAAGCCCACGGCTCCTTAACCGTCCGTGGTCAGATGCTGTTTAAAACAATTTATTAGGTCTCAGCTTTCACCAAATTGCTTAAAAAATCCCACTAGCTCGGCCTTCGGCCACGCAATTTCGCTCCCTCCTTGAAGAACTTCTGGGTACGTCCAGGGCCTCCAGGCTCCCCCCTTACAAAATTTCTGGGTGCGCTTCTGTATGAAACAATAGTTCTGGGAAAGAAACCCAATTACTAATTGTTTATGCTCTTTGACTGACTAACCATTGTATTTCATAAAGGTTTTATAAATGTCATGGACTACATTACAGGTGCAGTCATTGTTATGATCTTATGATTGTATGAAGATGGTTGTATTCAATGTATTTTCATTATATTCATCCCAATAAAGAATATGATAATTATTACTTAATTTGATTACAGTACTCGCATTATTTCTATTACTTCTAGTTCCTAAGGTATGTAAGGTCATTTCATTATTTGGAGTATCTTGGTGTTCAGTGATGGCGGTCATATTAGATTTCCAGTTGCAGATGATGCCAATAGTAAAATAGATATGCCCAGCATAAAAAATTAGCAGAAATTTAAACATGTTTCTCATTCTATATATTCTACATCTAAAGTTATGGATGGCTAAATGTTTTCATATGCGTAATGGTGGTCATCTTGGATTAAGCCTTTAGCGGGCAAATGTCTCCTATCCAAAAAATCTGATTGTGTTATCATTGAATCTTAACATTCATATAAGTCAAATCAACTGACAAACTTGGGGCACAAATCAACTGACTTGGGGCACCATAAAGTATACACGAAAGTGTAGTGCAGAGCCTGAGTTGGCCGTTTCTATACCTGTAAACAAAGCAAACTGTGATGTTTCAAGAGGATATAATGCAACTTATCTATTTACATCTAAAGGTAACATAAAGAGAAGTTACAAATATTATCATGGAATTAAGAAATGCACTTTGCAATCAGGCAAACCAACCCTTCCGATACGACGAGAGCCACGTTGCTCAATCTGAAATCCATCATACCCAGCTGTAAAGATACTTTTCTTGCCGTGTGTAAATACCCACACCATATTGCCATACCATGTGAGCGTGTGATGCAGATGGTGTGGGTGTAGTGGAACCTGACATTTCAGGGGAAGATAATTAATTCACAGGGTTAAGTGGTGCATGGAGGGTGCTGGAAAGTGTCTCAACACATCTGGTATTGATTTTTACATATTTACAAATCAGAACACATATGTAGTCTTAAAATGTGTGAGGCAGCTGTGCAAGAACTTAACGGGACTGTACAATATATTGAAATGATAATAATGAGCTGCTGGCAACTAATAGGCTTCTAACATGTAAGCAAATTTAATGCCCAAAAATGTTCGGGTCACAAAAAAAATATCCACTTGTGCTGCTAATGGCAACCTTGAGCACATAAAAGGCATGAAATGATGTGATGGATTTACTGAGGTATAGTGAGAGGAAAGGAGCGGGTGAGTGAGAACATGCGCCCGGCGGGGCCCCAGTGAGTGAGGTGAGAGAGGAGTTAAGGTGCAGCACTGACGAAAAGACTCGGGTGACCGCGCGTATCGAGGGGAGGTGACACAACAATTAACCCACCTCAAAAAATTGGTGCGCCCTCATCAAAACCAGAATCACCCGGAGGGAGAAAAACATTAGACTAGTTTGGTCATCGTGCAGCAGGAAGCAGTAGAGTGAGTCTATCAGGAGAATGCAAAGGTTGTGAGGTCGGGCGAGAAGACTGACACAATATACAACATGCAGGAACTTGTTGTGTTACAAACTCTAGTAATACAAGTGCATGTCCAAAACATGTGCAATTACAGGGAGATACAGTGTGTGAATGTGTGTGTGTGTTTGTACTTGTGTCTTGTTGTTATTACCAAGTTAATGCATGATCTTTCAGTATTACAACATATGTCACTAAGCTGTGTGTATATTTTATATATATATATATATATATATATATATATATATATATATATATATATATATATATATATATATATATATATATATATATATATATATATATATATATATATATATATATGTTAGAAAATATACCTTTTGAAATCTTAAGAAATCTTAATATTTGCGGCATATTACTTGAAATGTTTTGAAAATCATTAACGAACTAGACACTTGTAAGAATAAGTCATAAATAATAATAGTAATGATAATTTCCACATCAACATGAAGTGCAGCGTTAAAATTTGTGCACACCAATAAACTATATCTGTCTGAAGCACAACTAAGACTAAATGACTCGTGAAGGAACATAAACAAAACGCTAACAATAAGAAAACCATAATGCATAAGGCATCAGAGGAAACATTAACTCACCCTGATGCCAACCTCAAGGGCATTACTCATTAGAACTCATCTTACCTCATTCCTCACAGATGAGACAATGTTCTCTACCTCGTCTTCTGGGAAGAGGTCCGGGATCTCTCCAGACGCCAGTAGGTCGTTGATGAGCACCAGGAATTTCTCGTCCGGGATGTGAGCATCCGTTATCAGGAAAACGGTGCCTAGGTTCTTGAGGCCGGCTCGCAGGTACAGGTTGGCCAGGTCACTCTAGGTTATGACACAACGTTTACTCCAGTATTCTTTTTTCTTTTTTCAAATTGAAAAGAGTTTCTATGTATCATTCATCATAATGTATAAAAGGTTAAGTTAGCATATAACTGAAAAAAGTTTACATCGGGGTCTGACACACCCCACATAAATATATACAGTAGTGCAGTGGTTCTTAACCTTTTTTAAGTCACGGACCCCTTTGAGAATCTAGTGAAAGCTATGGACCCCCTCCCTAGAAAAATGCACATAAGCACATAAGCACAACTTTGCATGCAATGAATATACTTTATTTTATTGAATATTCATTGCCTCATACAGTGTATGACATGCACAAAGTATGAATAAAGTAAACATTCTAGAAGTCAAAACCTGACGACGATGACGACTGTATGTTACCTGACCGTGTACAGCAGCACCCCATGCCACCCTACAGATTAACTGGTTTTCTTCAGTAGCCAAAAATACATACATAACATCTGGTACATATTGACAAAAATAGAACAACTTAATATAAAAATATAGTGAATATAAATGTTAAATTTTTATCTGACCTTCACGGATCCCCTGAAGCCCATCCATGGACCCCAGGTTAAAAACCCCTGCAGTAGTGGGTAAATGAGACTCAGGACTCATATTCTGGGAGATGCAACTGACCCTGAGCTCCTGAAGTCCATAGTCTTTGGTGAGGGTGATCTGGAACACCTCCAGACCAGATATGAAGGCAGCGAGGCGTGCCAGGGACTGTTTACCCGAGCCGCCCACACCCACCAACAGGGCGTTCCCCCGAGGACACTCCAGGATGCGGTTGATCCTTTACACAGACATTCAAACCAATTACTACATATAAACATTTATCTGATTATTATTATACAAAGCTACAGGGTGTCCACATTGAAACAGCTTTGAAGTTTCGTAAATTCTTATTAAATAATACACACAGAGGAGTATTCACACAGTTCATAACCCCCAAGAAAAAAATCTAGCAATAGTAAGGTTATGTGAAATGCAAAGTGTACTCCAGAAAGGGGCAGGACATGGTTCAGCTGAAAGAGTACATCACAGCGGCGGAGGCCTCCATAACCCCCCAAAGATGTTAAAAAATGTGTGGAGGGAAATTGAGTACTGTACTGTTGTGACTTAGTCCGTGCTACAAATGTTGCACATGTTGAATGAGTACCTTAATTTACCCGAATAATATACCTGTATACCCAAACAGAAACTGAAACTGAATCATACTGACTATAAACTTGTACAGTACAGTACGGTATAAGTAGGTTTTGATTCTTGTTAATGTGATTATACTACTTGTATGTATAAATATTTTGTGTGTTTTCTGAATTGGATGATTGCAAGCTATTTTGACACACAATTTCGCCTATTGAAACATTCTATTAAGTCTATAATCACACACTTATGTCGAGTGACAGGTGTTGTTGTTATTTTAGCTAAATGGCAAAACAACAGTCAACATCACGCCACATTGATTTGTCTACAAACACACACAGTCTATTCATACTATAAAGAGCCCACTCGTTGGTAACAAGTCTCTCCTAGACTCATGTTCAAGTTACAGAACAAGTTTATCTCCCTTATGAAACTTACCTGAAGAGTACAGCACAACAGGGAAAGGTTACACTGGGATACTAGCATAGATTCTCTTCTAGATTGCTGCTGGGTCATCGAGTTAACTACCCAACTTATACTTCTACCAGAGTGCCTTCAGCCTACGAAACACTGTTACAAGTACTAAAGTTACATACACACAACACCCAGCAGATGAGCTGTGTGAATAATCCTCTGCTTTATTCAATAAAAATTATAAGGCTTCAAATTTGTTTAATTTCAATGTGGACACCCTGCATTATCAATTCTAACAATTCTAACACTTGTATAATTCTTAGACAGGGGTCAGAGGGAGTTGGTGTGGTTGTGTGGGCCAAATATCTAATCTTTTGAGGAAGAACTTAACCATGGCCTTCGAAGGCTAAAGCATCATCTTCAATTGATACAGAGACATCAAAAAGTACTGGCAATATTATATGAAGTACATTTGATGACTTAAACCATATTTACATAACTACATATGTCTAATATTCTTAATTGAGGTGTATTAGAGCTGTTTCCATATAGAGTAAATAGAAAATCATGGAAGGAATATTAATTAACCCTTAAGCCCCGGGTTAGGGTTCTGCTGGCAGTACTCCTCTCCCCCTGCGGGGTTAAATCGAGAACAAAAATTAATAAAAAATAATAATAAATAAATAAAATAAATAAATAAAAAAAGGGGGGGGGGGGAGAAATGGGCGGACGTTCTGGAACGTCACCCGGGCCCCATGGGTTAATGAGACTAAGTTTTTGACAACACAGCTGACTGGAAAACCACTTTTACATCTTACTAATATGGATGACAAAATAAACTCAAGACAACATGTACAATTCATTATTGTACCTGCAGACATGTGCCATGGCATCTTCGAAAAGCACCAGGTTCATAGCAGCATTCAGTTCATTATAGGTGGTGAGGGCGTCCTGCAGGATGGAGTTGAGCTCAGTCCACGACTTGACAGGCAAGTAGCGAGGCTCACCCACTCCACGAGCAAAGTGGCAAAACACGTTGGGCTTGGCCATCACCTCGGACTCTTCCAGCTCCTGTAAACAGTCAACAGAATGTGAGCAACATGCGGCAGAGGTTGAGAATGTCATTTGTTATCTTACCGGTAATGAGGAACATTTTTGTTTCCTGTTAACAGATGTAATAGGACTAGGCTAGGATTTGTTGATAAAGTCTTTCCCATGAAATGTTATACTGTGGCATTTTTTCTATTATTTTTCTTGTAATAAACTAAATTTAGCAAGAGAAACGTGTTCATATTCTAATCACTTAAGGGCAGATACGATGTTGCAGCTATAAGTTTCTTATACTAATGATGCTGAAAGGATATTGCTCTGTTGATGTCCTGGTCCCACAGCACTTGTAAGCAATATATTGTATGTCTCTGTCACTCTAAAAGTACATGTGTCATATTCCATTTAACTAGCAATCTTGAATAAAAAAATATACACCATGGAGGAAAAAGATATCCATGCATTGTTTTTGTGCACGTGACCTGGATAGTTTGTCAACAAAATACAATGTATTTAGTAAACGCTGCAGCTGCTAAGAATGGAGGGAAACCGGAGTCACTACAGTACCAAGATCAGAGAAGTTACTAAGAACAAATTCTGGCTTGAAAGTCATGTACACTAATACTGACACGTTCCTTGATAAGAGAGAGGAGTTTGAAACACTACTGAAGGTACAGTCAGACAAAGATGCACAGACCCCACCCTGGGTCTCGTGCTCGCAATTTTACCTGGCAATACTTGGTAAAGGAAGGCTGTATGTAAAGGTGATTGTGATTGGTGGATCTGTTTTCGGCTGTATCACTGTCAGAATAATTATTAAACAAACCAAAGGTAGAATTTTTTATAATAATAAACTAATCATTGTTATTTAAGGTAATGAGAAATTTCCAAATGTTCGTATACAAGTATTTGTTTAAATAATGAGGAAAATTTGATGTGAGGATCTTGTGGCAGCTGTGGTTGTAGTCGAGTTGCCAATTCATTAATATAATTTTCTTCATTATTTAAGCAAATATACGAAAAGGACCTGGGTGTGTATGTTGACAATGAACTGAAGTTCTCAGGTCACTGTGAGAAAGTGAATCAAGCAATTAAATTATTAGGTCGTAAAAGGTCATTCAGATATCTATACGGTCCATCACTCGTAACGATCTTCAAGAGTGAGGTGCTTCCACGTCTGGTCCCCGAGATATGCTAGGGACTGTCAGTTAATTGAAAATGTCCAAAGGAGGGCCACCAGACTGATGCATACACTTCGGCACCTCAGCTATGCAGAGAGATTACTGTAGAGCGCCTGCAACTGCCTAGCTTATAATACAGAGAGGCAAGGGGCAACCTAATCGAAGTATACATATAAACATCTCGGAGGGCACTACTCGGTCGAATGCACATACCTGGAGCTGGCAGGCGCCCATTACACAATGGGTCACAGCTCAAGGATGAAGAAGCCACAATACCAGAAAACTGTGAGGGCTAACTTTATCTGACTGAGAATTGTGAACTTTTGGAACAACCTGTCAGAGAGTGTTGTGAGGGCACCGAGTGTGAGCTGTTTCAAGACCAGACTTGACCAACACTGGAGCAGGTTTAGATACATTTAGGGGCCAGTGCATCCCCAGTACTTGCCAACAGTGCATAACAGATATGTGACCAACCGCCCAAGTGGCTAACTAGGCGATCAGTGGCAAAGAGGATAAAAGTAAAATATGTAAATAATAAGTAAGATGATCCATCAACTTTTTTTTATAATTTTAGTTTGACACTGTTCAAATGATTTTTAAGTTGTCTAAAGGTCATTGTTTATGTTATCTCTCCTCTTGAATTCTCAACACTCAACTCCGCACTCCAGTTTACCATACTGCATACACCTGCGCCGTAATATATAGCGAGGTGTAAACCAGCCAATATTAGTGGTTTCCGTTTTCTTGATTTCATAAAGTGGGGAAGAGGAGGAGTAGGAGAAGGAATGGCTTAAAGGAGAAGGAAGACCAGATAGAGGAAGTGAAAGAGAAAGAAGGAAAGAAGAGGAAAGGAAGAAGTAAAGGAGGAGGAAGAGATGAAGGGAAGAGGAAGAGATGAAGGGAGGAGGAATAAGAGAAGGAAGGATGAAAAAGAAATGGAAGAAACTTACTGTAGCAAATAAACATGATCCTATAAACATGACAACAGCATCTGACAAGAACACCTCTTTATCACTTAAGCTTCAGACTTGGGTACAGTATTATTCTTCAACATAATTTGTATAAACACAACCGATGAAGATTGACTCCAAAAATATTTATTTAATAATTTAGTCTTCAGATACATTTATGAGCATTGATGTTTATATGTATGTTGGTGCTTTAAAAACTAATGTCTTTAAGAATATAAACTAATTAATTGGTTACATTAAACAAGAATTATTAAGAGTTTAGTAACACAGCAGTGAGAAAAAATAGTTAGCAAACATGGCTGATGTCTCACACGGGCATACTACTGGGCCACCCACTCGCCTGGCATGTGGGGATGGGTTGGAGCATGATGCAGCCTTTTGGAATGGCCTGAAAATTTATTCCCAGACCCAGAAATAAAAATTTGTTGAGATTTTCCAGAATGTTTCTTGTAATTTTCAGAAAATGCATCTGATTTTCAACCCAAGAATTTGTTCCCAAACTCGGAATTTAGAATTTTTCCGGAAAAATTGCAAGCAAAAGTCAATTCCGGCTATTGGAGCATTCCAGTTAAGGGGGATTCTGGCTAATGGAGATATTATTATTATTATTATTATTATTATTATTATTATTATTATTATTATTATTATTATTATTATTATTATTATTATTATTATTATTATCATTATTATTATCATTATTATTATCATTATTATTATCATTATCATTTTTATTGTTATTATTATTATATTTATCATTACCATAACGTTCCATGCCACATATATATATATATATATATATATATATATATATATATATATATATATATATATATATATATATATATATATATATATATATATATATATATATATATATATATATATATACAGTATAATCTGCATTTACGCTGTTTTTGTTTACGCGTTTGGTCATTTACGCGGTGCCTTGCCAGAATGAAAATGCTTTCATTACGCGGTATATTTGGTCATTTACGCGGCGAGTGGCTGGAGAGGTCCAGACCGCCGTTTTTTACCCACGAGGTCCATTCTTCACCATACGCAGGAAGCGACGACGCAGTGAGTGGTGCGCATTAGGCCGCTCTTACGTTATCGCTGACGTCATATGACATATCGGACTGTGATTGGGCCACGCATCCTTACCACCCACGCATTCCCTTCGCTGCTAGCTGTGATTGGTCTAATGTAACATGACGTGCCATGCCACCAGAGGGTAGAAGTCGCTGACCTAGCAGGGCCTGTCTCATTGTTCTCAGTCCGCGTATACAGTTCTCTCTTGTGCCCGCTATTCCCCTCACAACTAACAATGGCTTCCGCGGGACCCCCACCACCAGAGAAAAACATTGAATTACCTGGACCAAACCATGATAATGTGAAGGAAATCATCGAGTTGGGGGAGAAACTTAAGCTCATCCTTGACAACGACCCAGACAAGCATCGGTATGAAGCATCTAATAACCATCTGTCGAAAGTTATGGCGCCGTATATCCAGATCTATCTCGACAACATCAATGCTAGTCTTCAACGTAGTATTAAGGACTTCCTCGTCCGCAACCCACCACAACCACAGCCAGTGATAGTGATATTGACAGTGAGGCTATGGACTTTGAGAGGTTTGTCTGGGAGGCCCTGCAAACCTCTGCGAGTAGTAAAAGTGAAAGTGATTTACCGGAGGGCAACTAATCTGCCCTCTGCCTCGGAACCAGCCGCCATCCGCATGTGTCGACCCAGCTTTTCTACTAATGTAAGTGTTAAAAAACCTAATATTATTGATATTTCTCTTAATTATAATTGTGTGTGCATACCATCATAAAATTAAGATGTTATTTTTACTACAACATACTATTGTGTCGGAAAAAGTGGAGTTTGGGGGTCGGCCCAGTCTCTATTTCAATTAACCCCATATACTCTGTTATTTCATTTACACGTTTCTCGTTTTACGCGGGCCTCCACGGGTTCAATTGACCGCGTAAATGCAGACTATACTGAGACACAAGGTAAGTTAGAAAGATAGTGTAAAGTCTCTTATTGAGAATTTCAAGTATTGATGCCTCCTGTTGTGTTCTGTGTATTGTCCAATTGTTCAGGAGACACTACAGATAGAACAGTTTAGAAAGAAGTGAAATAAATATAATGGTAATATATATATATATATATATATATATATATATATATATATATATATATATATATATATATATATATATATATATTATTATTATTATTATTATTATTATTATTATTATTAAACATGCCAATTATTTGTAAAGTTATTACAGTAATACTAATTTAGTTTTTTATTATAAGAAATTGAGAACATATAAAGCCAAGCCATGTTGAGTTAACACAGTGCAAGTGGCACTTAAGCAGGTAGTGGGGGTCCCTAGACCACCCTGCAGCTCTCCTCAGCTAGAAGCGTTTATTTAATATTATAAAATGTAAATACCTCTATGACCATCTCTTTCTCTTCATCGTCGCTCTTGGACGGGAAAAAGGGGTAAAAAATGAGAGTAATCCTAGACAAAATATAGAGGACTGTACTAAGTAAACTATCCTGTAATGAGGTGTAATATACAAACCTAAACTACGCTACTAGACAAAAAAATGACCTCAGCCAGCAACATGCTATTAATTCTCTACTTATTACAATTTAAAAAAAAATATGATTTTAAAATGTGAATGTTTCTAATATATAATACCATGCACTTACAGTGTACTGTACATCCTAATATGATATATTTAGAAATGTAAGTAAATCTACCTATTCAACTCTGAATATTAAGTCAAAAGTTACGTCATGCTCGCCCACTTACCTTCAACATACCTCCACCTCAACCAATGTCGTGTCACAAGATATAGAGCCTAACTAATAAAGAAAGCACTATGCTTTTCCCAACTACAAGTCTTCAGTCTATCATTTACAGAGGCAATGTTTTAAATGGTCTACTGATTTTGATATATCTAATGAGGGAATATAAGAAAACAAATTGTCAGATTAGTTCCCACAACGGCTACATTATCGTGATTTACGAAACTAAAACTTTGCACTTACTCGGACATTATTTCCCACGTGAGGGGAGAAACAGCCGTTGACTTACCTCAAAGATCTTCTTGGTGACGTCAACTTGAAGTTTGGTAAGCATCTCCATGTCCTTCTCCTCAAGGAGTCGGTCGCCGTACACCCTCTGGGTCTCATGAAGCCAACACCGCAGTAGCTCCAGCGGTGCCTTCACTGTTTCCCCCGTGCAGAACAAGAGACCCTGAGGACGATCCAAGAGCCATTCAACAACAACACTGGTAAATGCCTCATGGCTTGTGGCTTTGATATAGCTATGAAAAAGGTTACTTTATGATGTGAATTCTCGGAAATAATATCCAGGCATAAATTGTTTCCATTATGCTATATGTTAGTCTCTGTACTGCACCAGAAGGAGACTGGTGTTACAGAATCATTGATATACAGGTAAGCCTAGAGATACGACATCCTTAGATGTGATATTCCACTTTAACGATGGTTATAAATTAAGACCATCTTACTGTATACGATCAAAATAACTCGCTCTAACGATATCCATTGAATAGCCATCGATATCCATTGGTTTTATTGTTTATCTATGGTGCAAACTATGGGTTGTATATACTGGACTCAAATTAAACGCCATCTTGCAAGGATTCCAGCAATGCAAAATACATTTTCCTACGTCAAGTCAGTGACACTTTATAAGGAAACAATATTTAACCCAATGCATGATGCACCTCTACCTTCACCTGTAAGCCGACCCACTCACTGCCACATGGCCAACCTACACACTACAGCCATGTTTGGTTCTTTGTCGATCGTAAACCTGCCATCGCATGGATCCACGATTACTGGCCAGCATCGTACACTGTAATCATCATTGGTGTTTATTTCTTATATAGTGAGAAGGGAGCACGAACATTTAGATTGAACTGTGTTATGGTGACTGTGGAGTGATATTTTCTCTGTTTTTATGTCTGTAAAGTGTATCGGCTTTGTTGTTTTGAAAATGTGAGCAGTGTCGGTCACTATCATTGTTTTGTTATTATCGTTCACTCTATTTTTGTGATAAGTGCTTTTGGTCTGTTTTTGTGACTGTGAAGTGAGCAGTGTAACTTTGAAAATGTCTGGGAAGGCCAAGATACCCAAGACAACTGTGTCTGAGGTGAAGCTTTACACTGTTAAGCAGCATGAGACTCCCCAAAGACTGTGTGGTAGTCAGAGTGACTTCTCCACTCCACCTACAAGAGTCCCCTTAGCCTATAAGTGGACATGTGATGATGATAAACTTGTCCAATATGATGTGGTGAGTGTTGTGGAATAGTTTTGCATTTAGAGTAGTAATGTAGTTATCGTTTCGTTGGTGATACATGTGTGTTTGGGGACTGACTGGGAATGTATCCCATTGAACCCCATGTTATAATGCTCACCTATTTACGATAAGTCACCTGGCGATGTGTTTTCAGGAACCTAACCCCGTCATATCTCGAGGCTTACCTGTACAATATATTTGTCCCTCAAAAAGCTAAAGTATTTCAAGCTATACCAACTCTTCCCCTTTATGCCGTCATGTGGTCTGCCATGTTTTTTCTGGTGCCGTCACTGATTGAGATTGCATACACTATATTGTGGCATCGTACAACATTTTTTTCTCTCTGTCTACCTCTCCCCCACTCTCCTAAACACTAAAGTATACTCTGGAAACAGCTTCAGTCGTAACTATATCATCCCCTGACCTGGAAGATGTTGGTGAGGTCACGGAGGTTGAAGATGTAGTGGAACTTAGTGGCGGTGGGCAGGAAGGTAAGAGTAACCTTCTGGTGTAACTGTAGGGCAGCTTGGACCAGTGGCTCCGTCATCTGTAAGGTGCCATTATTCTCAGTGTCTCACAGAATCAACAATTAAATGTACAGTTCAACACAGAAATTCATGGTACACAGGTGTACGACTTACTGGCCATGCCTTACTCCATATCTGTCTGGTTTACAGGTGAAATGGGCACCTTCCTCTGAATGGAACTAGCTGCTCATCCACAGTAAGTCATTAATACTATATATATCAACGAATCCTTGAACCTAGATATTTCAAACATCTCTGAGGGGAATAAGTTGGAGTTATGTTAAGTTCATATGCAGATTAGCTACATCTCTTATTGTGGCAACAATACAGATTGTAATGCCAGGCTGTTGATTAATCACATTCTACGCAGCTTGACTACTTACTGAAGCACTTCTCTTTTACCCATGCCACACACAGTTTCCTTGTCTGGAGGTGAAGTTTGTGGCTTGATGTTCATTTTTAATCAGTGTCACTACTGTATTTCCTGTTCTCTGAAATATGGTTACTATCACTATCATCACTTTCAGAGACCAATTCTTCCCTTTCCTCCTCAGACAGGGAGGACCTGAGCATAAAACTGTGCAACTGGAATTAAAATTCGATTGTATGCTTAATATGAATAAAAATAATCATAAGACATGCCGGCACAATTACAGCTCAAGAAGGAATAAAGCAGACATAAAATGTATATGGGTCAGAAGCGACCCAGACAGATTGGATAGTGCACATCTGTCTATTTCTGATACTATCGATCGACTTTTGTGTAAATGGTTTGGGTCATAGAATATTCTAAAGATACGAGGAAACGACATAAAAGAAAAGTATGTCTTGCATCATACCATCACTAGAATACAATAAAGGGCTTATGGGTCATATTTCACCCCCCATCAGACTAGAAGCTTTATCACTGGTTAAAAGAATATTCTTTCAACATACTTTGTAAACAGAATATGCTTAATGTGTAGCAGCTGTTGCCAACACAACAACCACATTCCATGTTAATGAGCTATATGACCCCGAGTCAAGGAATAATTCAAGAAGGTTGGACAACTCGTCAACTTCACTGGTTAATCATTATGGCAGAACACATACGGTAAGTCGATTAACATCCAGGTCCCCAATTAATGATGGGTAGATAAAGGCAAATTAATTATACACACAAACATACACTCACACTCTCAAGCACACAATTACCACAAAACAAAAACATTCACATACACAAACACAGACTCTGGCTCACAAGACATTTATTATTGTCAAATTCACCTACCCGGATCAGCGTCGGGTTGAATTTCATGGAGGCACTCTTCAGGTGTTGGTCGAGCAAGGAGGAGTAGATAAGGTTGAGGCTCTCCATGCTAGGGAAGCTGAAGGAACATACAAAGCCTTGGTATAAACAATCTCACTCTGACGAACTCCACACTAATGAATTAATATGCTAAGCAGCATTGAAGATGGCAAGGAAAACACATATTCCTAAGACCTTTTTGAAAAATAATGTATATCAAAGACCTTTAAAAACAAATGCATATCACAGCAAAATAGAAGAAATTTAATGCATATTGAAGACTCTTTGGAAAACCAAATGCATATAAAAAAACCTCCTTTGAAAATAAATACAATCTGATGGTGTTGCTAAAATACCAAATGCATATCAAGGACCTTTACTAACAAATGAACCTGTCAAATACTTTTTGGCAAAAATTTGCCTATCAACAACTTCCCGAAAGAACACAAAATAAATCTAAAAACGTTCTGAGTGTCTTATAAACATCAACCCCAAACTCCTGGAGACAACAGTACCTGACGGCGAAGACGCTGAAGTGTCGCTGTAGCCGAGGGTTGATGGTGAAGGAGCCGGCGGTTGGGTTCATGGCGCCCACGTACTGTACGTTGTGGATATCCTTGAGGGTGTGTTTCGTGCGGTCGTACCAGTGACCATAGTCCAGGTGCTGCCTGATGAGGGTATGGGGCTGTACCGTGCCATATTGGTCCACCTGGGGACACCAGCCTCGTCAGCACTCTTCTCAACCTTCTGCCTCCTGTTTGCTCTCCAACCCTCCTTGTTCCTCCTATCTCCAACCCTCCTTCTGTTCCTCCTACATCTAACTCTTCTTCCATTCCTCCTGCATCCTACTCTCCTTCTGTTTCCTCTACATCCTTCTCTCATGTTTGCCTTTTTCTTACCCTCTTGTTTATTCTACCTCCTATTCTTCTCTTGTCCTCCCTTCTGCCTCCTACTCTTTCTCTCTTAGTTTGGCAGCCTCCTCCTCCTCCTACACTTCCTTTACTTCCTCACTCACCCATTTCCTGCCAATCCCCTCCCCCTTAAATCTTCCTTTTCTTCTGTTGTACTTCTCTTTTTTTTTCTCTCTCACATACTCTCACTGTTTCTTATTATGCTTTTTCCCCCCTTTTGTTTGGCACAATTTTCCTTTACCCTACTGTTCTCTTGGTTTTATTTTTAAATATTTTCTTTTTTTCTTTTACTTTTATCCTCTTCACCACTGATCGCCGCTTGGGTGATCGGTCACGTCTCTGTTACGCACTGTTGGCAAGTACTGGGCATGCACCGGCTCCTGAATGTACCTGAACCTGCTCCAGTGTTGGTCAAGTCTGGTCTTGAAAGAGCTCACACTCGGTGCATTATTTTATCATGTAACGTACTATTTAATGAAAAAGAATTAAGAACAACAGGATTCCTCGGAGAAGAAATTATAGCAATGGTGAAAATTGGTAGGCAGACACCATCCAGTCTTAAAATAAGTGATTCAACTATAAACTTGGCCGAGTTCTCCCCCTGAGCCTTTTCTCAAAAACATATGATATTTTGATCTCTTACTAATACTTTACTGTATACAATGTACTTAATACCAACTACATTAATTTTCATGATTTATATATACATTACGTATATCTATACAGTATTGATTACTGTATATCCAAGTGTAAAGCATTATGATCGGAAAAGTTTTTTTAATGATAAAAATACAGTATAGTCTCCATTTACGCGGTCAATTGAGCCGGTGGAGGTCCGCGTAAAACGAGAAACGCATAAACGAAATAACAGAACATATGGGATTAATAGAAATAGAGACTGGGCCGACCCCCAAACTCCACTTTTTGCGACACAATACGTACGTTGTAGTAAAAATAGTATCTTAATTTTATGATGGTATGCACACACACATAATGTAGAAGAGAAATATGAATAAGAGAATAATATACTGTACCAGGTAAAAGAAAAATCAAGGTTTAACACTTACGTTAGTAGAAGAGATGGGTCGGCATACGAGGTTGGGGGCTGGTTCCGAGGCAGAGGGCAGATTAGTGGCCCTCAGGTGAATCACTATCACTATCAACCACAGATGTCAGGGCCTCCCTGACAAACCCCTTAAAGTCACCATCACTGTCACTATCACTGACTTGGGCTGTCTGTTGTGGGTTGCAGGCGAAGAAGTCGGTGATGTTACGCTGACGGCTAGCATTGATGTGGTCGTGATACATCTTGATATACGGCTCCATAGTTTGGTCTAGATGGTCATTGGAGACTTCATATCGGTGATTGAGAGGGTCTTTGTAAAGGATGAGCTTGAGTTTCTCGGCAAACTCGATGGCATCCTTTATATCAACATGTGTTAACTTCTGTTCTGGTGCTGCGGCACCACCTGCCTCCTCACTGACGTCATCGTCTTCCAACTCATCGTCGGCAATCACCTCAGGATCCTTGATTATCTCCATGATGTCGTCGTTGGTGGTCTCGGAGAAGCCAGCAGCTGTAACACTCTGTGCAGCTTCTCTTGCAAGGTCCACTGCCACTGCAGCAGACTGAGCCTCTCTAGCCACAGGTTGCCTCTGCCTCCCACCTGGGATACCCTGCAACACATGCCACTACGCGTGACGAATCGTTGCCACAGACAGCTGTCCTCATGCCTCCACCAAGAAATCAACAGCTTTCTTGCCGTTAAAAATTTTCCAAAACTGTTTAACTCGCGCTTCATGCTCCGCCAACTCCTCTTCTGGATCATGGTCCTCGCTCTCGCTATCTATGCCACTCAGGAGGTTCCGCAACTCATCCTTGGTGTTGGTGTAGTCGTTCAGGAGCTTAAGGTTCTTTGCGGAGAATGCAGCCTTAACGTTGCATATCAACTCCTGGTCCATGGGCTGGATTAACGACGTAGTGTTGGGAGGAAGGAAGACCACTTTTACACTGGGGTGACGATCCAACAGTAGGGGCGAGTGTCCTGGTGCGTTGTCAAGGAGCAACAAATGTTAAATGGTACATTATGTTGCTCGCAGAATTTCTTAACATCGGGAACGAAACAGTTGTCAAACCAGAAGAGGGACAGAGAAGAGGACATCCACGCCTTACGTGCGGTTAGCCAGTGGACATTTAGCTTGGTCATGTCCATGTTCTTGTAGGCGTGCGGCTTGTGGGCTGTGTGGATCACAGCCAGCAAGCTTACAGGTGCCGGAGGCATTGGTGGTAAACAGGACGGTGATGTGCTCCTTCTGCAACTTCCGGCCCCGACACTTGCTGGCAGACTTGACAACGAAGGTCTTGGAAGGTAATTTTTTCCAAAACAGACCGGATTCATCCATGTTCAACACTTGGTCGTTGGTGTACTGTCCTTCCTCCATAATGTCTCGTAAGAATAGAAGAAAATCCATGGCGGCAGCATGGTCAGCACTGGCTCCTTCACCAACACTATTAATGTTGGTTATCTTGTTACGTTTCTTAAACCTTTGCACCCACCCAGAGGAAGCAGTGAAGCGTTTGGGCTCTGATATTCCCATCTTGCGCGCCACTGAATCGTAGAGTTCACGGGCGTAGTCCTGCACTTGCCTATTGTCGACCGCCATGTTACGCCTTGCCTGGCGAATCAAGTAGCTCACCAGTAAATTCTCAGTCTTGAGCAGCACCTTATTCCGACAATACTTCACCATTGAAGCACCTGCAGACTTTGTGATGCTCATGTGTTCTTTTATCTTGGCGGCATCCTTCTTCATTGTACGAATTGTAGATTCGTTAGCTCCATGCTGGCGAACGAGATCAACTTGTCGGGTTCCCTTTTCTAAGTCCTGGACGATTTTGTATTTTACTTTGTAACTTAGGGCACGTCGTATCTTCTTGGGCTTGGGGCGGCTTAGTCCAGGTAATTCAAGGTTTTTCTGAGGTGGTGGGGGTCCAGCGGAAGCCATTGTTGAACAGATTAGCGGGCACACGAGAGAACAGTATACGCGGAGACTGTGAACAATGAGACTGGCCCGGCTAGGTCAGTGGCTTCTTCCTTCCCCTGGCTGGGCAAGTTATATTACATTAGACCAATCACAGCTAGCGGCGGAGGGAGGTAAGGATGCGTGACCCAATCACAGTCCGATACGTCATATGACGATAACGCAACAGCGACTTACTGCGCACCATCCCTGCGCCGCTTCCTGCTTATGGTCAAGAATGGACAGCGTGAATCATAATTGGCGCGGCGTGTCTGGACCTCTCACCGCGTGAATCATAATTGGCGTGGCGCGTCTGGACCTCTCGCCGCGCAAATGATGCAATGAACGGCGTAATTAAAAATTTTCATTCTGGCAAGGTGCCGCGTTAATGATCAAACGCGTAAACCAAATCCGCGCAAATCAAGACTATACTGTAACGAAATTTCAAATTTTATTTTTTTATATTTCTCTGCCATCCCATGAAGAATTTTCTTGTAAATTATTTATATGATAGTTAGCAACATAATTAACGAATTTTTTGTATTATTTCTTGTTTTTTTTTATTTAGCAAATTAGTAATTTTTCTATTGTTCATTTTATACTATATTCAACCTTTCCTAATCTATTTTTTTAATAACAAAAAAGTGTGACCAAGAATTTCTTCATACTTCTTTGTCCTTTCAAATGAGACCTTATTTTTTGAAAATCGGCCCATAAATAGTGGAGAAATATCTGAAAATGCTATAAAATACTATTTTGAGTAAGTGAGCTGCAGAGAGGGCTGCGGCGAGCAATGAACCGTAACGTCTGACCGCTTTGACAGTCGAGAGCAATACCTTTATTCGAATGGTAGTTCAGCTGCTCCTCCTTCCTCCCTCTACACTCAAGCATACCAGAAAGATGCCAGATAGTGCCAGAGAAAGCACAAGTAAGTTATCGTTTCTAATTTATTTTTATGAAATTTTACCAGAGGTTGTTGATATGTGTCAGAATGACGTAAGAGGGGGGGAGGGGGGCATTTAACTGTCCATTTAGTTGCCAAATTTCCGTAAATAACTTTGATATTGTGGGAGTGGCTATTGGACGGGCGCACAAAGCTCTGAGGATTTTGTTTATTTTTTTATTATTTTCAATATTTTTCCTTAGCACTTCTGTGAAGTACATCAATAGTGCTTGATAAAAAACTCTCAAATTGAGAACAGCAGATCCTGTAGAAACTAAGATATGAACTCTCTTAATATTTAATACTGTAGTTGGTGACTAGCGTACAGTACTGTATATGCAAACCTAGATAAAGCACTTAAATTTCTTAACCATAAAAGAGCAGTAATACACTATAACATTAATACCAACATCAACGGATCCTGAAAGTGCAATAAATAAGAAGATTCCATTTATTTTTCTGAAATAAAGATTTGTTTGTAACGTACAAGAAAAAAGATAATCTTGTCAACATACTACACAACATCTGTGACAATGTATCTTCTCAAATTTTTTCAGAATTTTAGTATACACCAACTTGACAATTTCATCATTTCTCTTCCATGCATCTTTACAAATGAGAATGATGGAAAGTATTTAATTCTTTGTTCTAGACCACAACACATCCTTTAAGCCTCCAACTAACCATAGGCATGTTGATATCGTCTATGAAGTACACAAGTTTCTTGTTGCCAGGTGGAGCATAGTTCCTGCCAGCCTTCTTCTCCAATGGCTTCTCCAACACTCGTTGCAACAACTCTGTACAGAAGAAGACGGCAATAATTACTAGACGACACATACAGTGTGATGGCAAGGTTTAACTGAGTCAAAAAGCACAACTTGGATTACTTGGGAGATAACTGCACCATCATCATCCAGGATCAGTGTATTGCTCCCTCTCCATTCTGCCTGTACTTGTACATGACTGCCTGTAATAGATCATGTATTGATCTGTACAGAGATAAGAAGAAATAGCAATATTACGTATTCTTCGAACATTATTGTTAGATTTCAGGCAATAATAACAGGTGCGTTTCAGGTTACATTTGATTATTGTGAGAGTAATATCTCCTTTAGCCAGAGTCCCTCTTAACCGGAACTCTGATAGCCAGAATTGAAATTTTCTCAGAATTTTCTGGAAAATTCAGGGTTTGGGGTTGATTTTCCGAGGGGCGAATTTTCCTGAAAATTCTGAGACCATTTGCCTGGTACCCAGAAAATTCTGAAAAATTCTGGCCATGGGGGATTTTTCCAGCTTTGAGAGATGAAATAATGCATTAATCTGGAAAATTACAATACCCAAAACAATTCCAGGGATGGGAGATTTTTTTCCAGTTTCGAGAGATGAAATAATGCACAATTTCTGGAAATTCCGAAAAGATTTTTCCGGTATGCAAAAAATTATGGGGAGAGGGGATTTCTTCCAGCTTTGAGAGAGTCATCTCATTACCTGAAAATACATCATTCTTGAAAGTACTCTGCACCAATTGTTCTGGTTAACAGGGATATCACGTGTACAGTATTTTTTTTATTTAACGAACTACCTGTAATTCGAGTCACCCCTTCCTGTTTACTCAAAATTCTCGCTATATAAAATTTCCGTTATTTTCGCTTGATTTAGCAAACTAGTTCATTAAATCGAGCGTGATTCAGTTAAATTACACCGCTTGGCACGTGAGGTTTGTTTACATCCGCTCGGTCTGTCTCCTGCTGCCACCGCGTGCGTTGTTCACTGTTACCTCTCGGTCTACATCTCGGTCAACTAACTATTGTGCTTAGACATCATGCTGAAACTCTCTCAGAAGTATCAGAAAGGAAGTGATGTGGGGGGAGAAAGTCAAAAGAGTGCGGCTATCAATACCTGTACTAATAGAAAAAATTGAAAACAAACACCAAACCCCCTAGTTTAAGGTAAGCCATGAATAATGTTTCTATGTACACAATGTGTCTGAGGTGTCTCCGTAGGTGTGAGCGTATTAACTGAATTAATCAAGATATAGCGAACTAGTTCACTAAATCGAGCGAAAAATAATGGAAAAATTCCTTCCGCTAAATCGAGAGTACATCTGTATACTGCATTTAGAGATGACACTTTTGACAACCTTAACCTGATAGAGAGAAATACTGTACTTGAAGGGAACTCTACCTGGCATAGGTAGGCTACATGGTTGAGTGACTCTACCTGGCATAGGTAGGCTACATGGTTGAGTGACTCTACCTGGCATAGGTAGGCTACATGGTTGAGTGACTACCTACCATAGGGAGGTTACATGGTTGAGTGACTCTACCTGGCATAGGTAGGTTACATGGTTGAGTGACTCTACCTGGCATAGGTAGGTTACATGGTTGAGTGACTACCTGGCAAAGGTAGGTTACATGGTTGATTGACTCTACCTGAAGTGGTGTAGTAGTTGAAGGGAACGTTGCAGACAGAGAACTCCTCTGTCAGGGAGTTGAGTTTCTCGTTCAGGAGCGCTGACTTGCCACAGCCTGAGGAGCCAACGAGCATCACTGGGTGGCACCTGGTCATCAGCAGGTCGATGAAGAACTTGAGTCTCACAGTCTCGCTCGTGTGGACCATCAACGA